GGTGATTGCTTGATAGGTAAGGATAAGGATTTGACTCACTTCCCCTTCCAGGTCTTCAGATAAAACAAAATCACAATACTTGCTAGATCACCAAATTACAACCTGGTCCAGTGGCAGCCAGGCTGTGTGCTTTTATTGTGTTTCCATTTACCTATTCACACACTTATTTATGCTCTGAGATCATTTATTCCAGTTCTGACATGCAAACCCAACATATATGCAAAATTGCTCTGGTTAGCAGGAATTTGAGAATAGGTACTCCAGTGAGTTCCCCTGATAATCATAAAACTTCAATGATTCTTAAGTCTGTATTACATAAATGTCAAATAGCCACTAATTGGCATTAACTCGATAGCATCAGAATTTTAAAATGTAAACTTTTACTGAGAAGCTTCAGTTTCCTACAGAACCACTGACTCCAGGAATTAAGTCCATAAACATTAACAGAGCCAAACTGCTATAATTTTAACCAGTCTTATCTTAGATCAATTTTAGTAGCAATTAAACACTTAGCATTGTTATCACTATAGCTTTGCACTATTTATAGACAAAATCTCATTAAAACAAACTCCATGTTACTGTATATTGTCCTAGGAATTAGCACTTACATCTTTAAGACTAATGATTGCACAAGATGACCCATGAAAATTAAAGTATGTGACCCACAAATTCTTGGGTTATACTGGTCTGGTTCTCTTCAAATAATTACAGATTACCTGAGTTTTTCATTACAAATAAATATAAATGGAGATTTATTCACTAAAAGTCGACCGACAGCTTCTAAATAGGCCAACTAAACAAAATGACCCATTTCCATTGATTCTGACCCATAGCAGCCTTCCAGGATAAACGAAGTAGGTTGCAACCTTTACAAAAGCTACCTGGCAGTTTTCACCTGTGTAATGGCTGATGAGTTTGAAACTCAAGCTTTGGGTTACCTCCAGACCATTTACTCAGTGCACCAACAGAGTGCTAAATACTAGATGGGAGTTTTCAGTCCCAAAAGATGGAGTCATAAGTGTTTTGATTTGACGCATACCTCAGTTTCAGTTATCTTGTATCCCATTAAGTTTCGAAAACTACTAGATAGCAGAAATACTAACCTCTTCACACCATCAAGTAGAACCATTTCTATCAGAAAAAGCTGCTCGTGAAACAATGTCTATATAGCGAAGTGTTCAGTAGGTAGAATCTATGTGCCAAGAAAGGTTGACAAATGGTGGTATCAATGACTGAAAAGCATTTTTAAATTAAGAGCTAGATTCTTATAGCTGGACCTCAAAGTAATACCACAATAACCAAAACCATAGGCAAAAATAAAAACAATGTTGAGTAGGAAAAAACCGATGCTAAATAAGTAGAAGCCAGTTATTTTCAGAATTCCTATCTGTTGTTGTTCATGGTGAACCGAGTACGTGGGGGGGACTCCCTTGTAGGGATCCTAATGAAGTACAACAGCAGAGCACAAGGCTGCTGGGTCCTCCACAGCTCTGCCACTCTCGGGTTTGATTCAGTACCCAAAGCAAAATGTGTCCCCAGAGAAAAGTTTATAAAGTAGTTCCCCTTTTCAACCAGATTTTAAAAGACGAATGAAGGCAGTTTAAAAGAAAAACAAGTGGATACAAAGCCATTATCCATTCTAAAAAGCGATCTAAATTCAAGACTGAGAGCAAATAAGATTTGGCTAGCAAAAAAAAAAAAAGGGAAACTTCACTGAATTATACATGCAGAAAATGTTGGAAAATGTTTTGCTGTGCCTATTTTTTTTTCAATTTGTAAAAATTACATGAATAACAATGAGCACAAGAAAATGGTCTAAGATTGAGTTTGGCAATGACTGTACAACTCTTTTTGACATGACTGAACAGCTGGATTATATGTTTAGTGCCAATAAAACTAACAGAAACTAGTTTCAATGACAGGAGGCGAGTAAAAACTGTGTAACTCAACATCTATTGATGGTGGTAAATTTTCTAAAGCTTTAGAAAGTAAAGTTTGGGACCAAAATCTTTGTTTAGGATGAATGCCAGAATACTTATACTTGTAGCCTCATTCCATGAAACATCTCAAGAAGCCTAGTTTGGAATATAAACAAGGCTCTTTGTAAGATTTGCCTCAAATGTTGGTTGAATATCACTCTCCCCAACTGATATTCGGGGGCTTCAAAAGGGTCACTGAAAATGACATTAAAGGACAATGGAACTTGGCCATGAATTTTTTGAAGTCTTCTCATATTTCCTTGTTACTGACATTTGATGCCTTCTTAGATAAAAAGGAGCACCATTATTGTCATAGAAAATCAATTATTTTAAAAATCAGTAACAACTCCCAATGTGTGTCTACATTTGGCATAGAGAGCCATAAAGCTAAACCCTAACTGTACTCAGATAGTTAATGGTGCAGATAGCTAGCAACATTTGTTGCTTCATTGCTTTTCAATTGAAATGAGGTCTAAAAAATTTCTCAGGAAATAGGCAACTTAATATCACAATAGCTATGTTAGCTATTAAACGGGCTCAAGGAAACCCAACTCTTAGATAGGCACACTAATGCTTAGTTTCTAAATTGGTGATCTCATCTTTGTTCCAAATTGATAAAATTTCTTATGAAGGCAAAAGTGTTTAGTGAATTGGTAACAGACCTATGAAAAGCAATCCAACTCGACAGAATTATCCCACATAACTGGGAAGAAAACGGACTTGCTGAGGCTTTAGGCTGTTACTTTGGCAGTTCTAAACCAGTTTTTAAAAGTATGTTTAAGTACACATTGCAATTACTAAGCCTCATCAATGGGGGAAAACTGGGGGTTAAAGAAAATTCTAGTTTTCAAATCAAAGAGGAAGCAAGAACTGTGCTGTTGAGATGCTAGGCCAGAGTAATGAATAAATACCAAGGAATGCCAGAAGCAACAGGAGCAATGCTCCTTAGCAAAGAAAACACAGGGATGGCAGCACTTCCAGGCCTCACCAACAGGAAAGACCAACATGCTAGGAAAGAGCAGCCTGGCTGGTGGACAAGTGACAAGCAGGAGAGAGTATCTGAGATGGGCAGGGGACTTGCACACACCAGCAGTCATGTACTGGGCAGGCTGGGTATTTTGTTCTGTTGTATACAGGTAGTCATTAATAGTGATCTTAGTAAAATGGGTTAAAGATTCAATGTAGTGACACACATTTTAAGATTCAAATGGCCTGAAATATATCCCATAAAATTAAAAAAAAAACACCAAAACTCTATTGTGAGGTTTAGCCTGAAATCATATTTTCACAAGTTGAAACACATTGCAAGAATTAGTTATCAAAGTTTCAGCGACCATCCCATCAACACAAGTACCATATATACTTGAGCATAAGCCAACCTGAATATCAGTCAAGGCACCTAATTTTACTACAAAAACTGCATAAAAAGTACGCTGAAAAAACTTGGCTTCTACACGAGTATATATGGTAAATTTGACATAAGACCTGTGTCTTAAGAATCATTTATTAGGCCATGCTCTCTCAAGAATGCTCTGAGGTCTTTGGAGATTAATCGTAAATAAATTATTTCAGTGCCCTGTCTGATGAAATGGGAGCTTCTCCTGCACGAGCACATGAAAAGCTCCTTTGCTATTGAGCTGCATGCTCCTGTCATGGGGCCCTCCCAAGAATGTCTGTTGCCAAAACTTAAGTAATTCAACACTTTTCCTAAAATGAAGCTAGCCTGAGGCATTGCCCTAATGAGATAATTTTAAAAAAATACTGTCGTCGTATGTGTTAGTATGTTCCAAATGGCTAACATAAGATGTGCAAAATTATGCAAAAAAGATCTATTCAAAAGGCAAGACTGACTGATGGCATTTGGTGTGTAGCAGTGTATGAAGTGTATTGATTTCAGATTGCAACTAATCTTCAAGACACTAGTTGTCAAGTGTTGATACTGCACAAAAAAAGAAATATCCACAATTAACCTGAAGTCATTTTAAAATTCCTTTTCAACTCTGGATTAGTCGTTAGGTGGCCAGGTTTTCTTCATCCTCACTCCCTACATCAAGTTGATGCCAAGTCATAATGACCTGATAGGACAGGGTAGGCGTGTCTCTGTGAGTTTCCGAGATGATTAACTGTTTACTGGAGTAGAAACCCCACGTCATTCTGCCGTGGTGCATGAGGCTGGTGGTTTCAAACTGCTGGCCTTAACCACTACACCACCTGGGCTCCTTCTTTCTTCATACACTGTAACCAAAGTGCCACATTACAACAGACTGAATGCAGAGGGCAGATTCTGGCCCAGAAAATTACAAAAATGTAAGCAAATGCTACTCATCAAACTATTATTTTGTTTTGAAAAAGATTTACTTTTCATAAAACCATGCAAATGTTAACGTTTTTAATGAATTCAAACATACGTAACAGTTTTCAGGTTTACTTTTTACTACAGTATCAAAACACACAGACAGTTCTTCAGGGACCTTGATTTAAAAGAGTATCAACTAATTCCAAGACCATGATGCTTGCCAACAGCAAACTAGGGAATTCATACAGGCCAGCATTGAATGTGTTTTCTTTCATCAATGCACACCTAATTTGCACTCATGATCCTGAAAAGGACATTTTAAAAAGTGGCGTGAAAAATGTTTTTGGCACGGAGTGGTGAATTAAAATGATCTAAGACAGCTGGCTCTCAACCTGTGGGTTGCGACCCTTTCACAGGGGTCGCCTGATTCATAACAGTAGCAAAATCACAGTTATGAAGTAGCAACGAAAATAATTGTATGGTTGGGGAATTACCACAACATGAACTGTATTAAAGGGCCACGGCATCAGGAAGTTGAGAACCACTGATCTAAGACAATTTACTTTCTCAATGGAATTATTATGGGGGGGCGGGGGAGGATTATTCTTATACAAGGTTTCCAAGGAAATTTTCATAGTAGTATGTTAACTATATAAATGTTTGGACTACCATTAACAAGACAATTTTATTTTTGAAAAGCATACCACATAGTAAAAAATGTCACATTGTTTTTCTCAATTTTTTATTTGGGTAACAAGTTGGTTATCTTCACGGCATTGTATGAAACATCACAATATCATACTGAAAAGTTACTATCAGTACAGGGTTGGATCAGAGTGGACAGTGTGAACAATAAACCATTTTGCATTCTTCATTCCCTATCTTTCAACAACCCCTAAACCCAGTAAAGGGACAAATAGCTTTTAACATCATCATGTAAAGCACATTAACTTACAAAGCTAAAATCTACAGAATAAATAAAATATATTGTGGCAATAATTCCTTTTAGACCCAAAATCAGGTACACAATGAATCAAATGACCAGGAAAGCGGTCTATATTCAAATGTGTGGTTCTCGAGAAACAGCTTCAGAAAAATGTTACAGAAAATACCATGAATTCCATTTCACACAGGACCGGATGACGACTCAGTGTTTTAACTACACACAAGGGCAATCACATCCGCTGAAACACGGTTGAAACATAGAGGGAGATGTTTACAAAGCATCCACAACAGGTAAACCATGTACAAACGGATTCACCGGGTGTTTGTCATACTCCAATAGCTTCTTTCATTACATAGCTGGCTCTTCGTGTGCAGCATTAATTGGATTTAGTACATGCAAAACTCAAGAGGATTCAAGAAATCAAGGTTACTGTAAAAAGAGAATGAAACTAATAATCTTCAAGTACCTATGTGACAGCCACTCTGTACCGTGCCCAATGTTATAAAACGAAAGGTCACTGAACCCATGAAAATATCTCTGCAATATTTCCTTTGATCTAAAATAGATCATTTAAAATTGTATTTATAAGTTCAATATGATATTCTGAGCTTTTGAAATAACATAAACAATTAAAAATTATACCAAATTACACAAAACTCGTTTGTATCTTAAAAGCTGGAAAAATTAAAACTATAGAAACCCACATGTAAAACAAAGATCACAATTTACATTATAAAGGCAAATTTCATCATTTAAAAAAATTTGCAGCAGTAAGATGTCAAAGCAAATTATAAATAGCCATAAATTAATTCATTTGGTTTTAAAAGATTTCCTAGAGAAAGTTGAAGGATGGAGTGGACACACGCAGAAAATCCAGAAGGGCGTGTATTATTATTGCCAAACACACCTGCAGCTTGAAGCAAGGCAACAGTACAATGTGGACATTATTGGAGAAGCCAGTTGGTACTACAGGTAAAATTGGGGAAAGAATTAAATAACAATTAATAATAAATACATATATCCTATAGTAAATTGCTCAAATGAAATTCCAGGCCCCAGAGCTGCAAAAGGTTTCCAACTTGGTGAACTGAGAAAGGATCATCTCATACAATTCTTTACTCTTACATGCTTATTATGTTGAGTTTTGTTTCTTTTTTTTAAAAAAATAAAATAACGTATCTTCAGAATACAGCTAACTATATTCCCATGCACCTCAGGCACATTTGTCGGTCTGTGGTGAAATAACGCCATGACTTTCTAGGGCCTGAAGTTCAATCAGATGGAACCTGTATGCCTGAGGTTGGCAGAAATACTGTAGAGAACAGGCAATGCTACGAGTGGCAATTATCAGAAAACACAAATATGAACGAATGATGGGGAACGCTAATGATTTTCTGCTCATATCACAAAACGTTGGGAATCCACAAGAATATTTTTCCCTTGTATTGAAGAAAAGTGTAATTAAAGGTTTTTCCCCCAATTTTCAGAATCAAAAGCATTTTAGAAGGTTTCTAAGGCTACCATGGGTCTTCTAGATCTCCAGCACCCTACAGGAAGAGAAAAGGAAGAACATCATTATTATTTACCTGTACGATTTCCAGGTTGAAATGAATTTCAAAAGAAAACAAAATTAGATGAACAAAATTACCTTCCTTTGTCTGAAAAACGTACTTTTACAGAGAGGTGTGTGTTGTATTTTGTGATTGTATAGATGTATCTATCTATACAGAAAATTGGTTGGGTTTTTTCTCCCCTCTCCACCAAATGCCTTCCTCTTTCTTAAATCACTTACAAATATTCTGGCTTTGGAAAAACAGGTCAAGATATCAGCCATGTAAGTTTCAAGTTATAGTATACCTTCAGTAACTTTTTTTTTACCTTAAGTAACTTTTGACACACAATATAAAATAGTAATAGAAAAAGAAAATAGAAAAAGAAGCCAATGTTCTACAATCAAAAAATTGTTTTAAATAATTATTTTCAAATGTGACTAACAGCCACCTGTATTTAAAATATCAATTTTAACTGAAACAAATCTGTCACTATTTAACATAGCCCACAAATTCTATTAACGAATGAAGAGCACTTACAGCAAAACCGGTGTGGTTGAAATCTTAAAATAAAATGGTCACCAGGGTAATTTTCTAACATGTTTATGTGTGTCTGTGGTGTCTTAAAAATTAACATTAAATGCCACAAAAGGGGATAATAGAATAAAATTATTCTGAGTACACAGTATTAAAAATGCCAGCTTAACTTTTATATATGTTTCCCTCTTTTGGTTAATAACTACGTTTCTAAAGTCTACATAAATGAAAATGAATTTCTAAAGGGTAATTTTCTAATGTACCATATCTGTTTTTATTTTAAAAATACTTAAAAATAAGTACAACATGCATAGCTTATTCCACATCACATGCTTTATTTGGACTTAAATTTCATTCTAAACACTTGATCGACATACATTTTGATGTCTGTTATTAGGCTATACAGATATACAAACCAAAATTGTATGAATAATACATGTTTTTCAAAAGTTGTTTCATAATTAAGAATACAGAGAAAGGAAAAAATAACCACACATCCAGTATCTCACAACTTCTAAAAATAAAACCACAGAGATGTAAAATTTAAACAAGTCAACACAAGTTATCATCCGTGAAAGAATTGAAGGCTAGCATGAGCCATTCTTTGAAGAACTAAACGATTAAAGAAAACACGTTTATTACAAAGCTACCTATGAGTGTTACTAAAGCAAAGTAATGTGAAGCAGTAGAACTCTAGATTAACAAAAATTTTTATACAACATAATGTAATCTACAATCAGGAATCACTAGTCCTGCCTGGCCTGGATTTCATTTACAACTAACTTTAATTACTGTCAGTCTAATTTCTGGCAATACAATGTGAAATTATATAGATTAAAGCCAAAATACTATAAATATTTAATTTTAAACTATTTGATAAAGATGTATGCAAAGGCCTTCTTCAAAAAAACAAGGCTATAGGAATATAATAAACTATTTTCCAGGATCCAAATAACAAAATGGTTATATAAATGCATATAGTATACTTCCTAAGTAAAAACCATCAAATCAAGGGTCACAAAAATATTACCAAAAAGGAGTCATATTTTTTCACCACTCATCTTTGTCCCTGTATCTTCATTAGGGCTCTCTAAGTCAGCAAGATCATTTTGGGGTTCAGTATGGCTTTCCTGCATTGTCACTGGGGCTTCAGCATCACTGTTCGAAGAAGGAGCTGCAGCAGCTGGTTCAGCAGGGCTTTCTTCTCCCTCTACTTTAGCTAGCCTGTAACTAGTCAGCATCTCCTCCAGAAGTTGGCGGTAGTTTCCCCTATGATTAATTCTCATTTGCCTGAGCGCTTCCACCAATTTCCCCTGTGATCCACTTTCCTCTGCTTCATCGGAGGCCTTTTTTTTAAGATTCAAGACCCCAGTGTCAGTAGACAAACCAGGATAGCACATGTATTTCATAACACATTACAGCAAAATACTCATTTCTTTACCAGGAATTAAAATAGTCTAAGCATGAGAACATTTATTAATTCAAAAAAAGTACCCAGTCTTACCTGTGTCAATTAATAAAATTTCTTTACTATAACTAATTTTAGCAAACATATTATTAACCATTTTACATCTTAAGTTTTCGGTTATTTAATTTCAATTTTTTTCTTCTTTGAGAAGTCAACGACAGTAACATAAAGCATGTTCTAAACCCCATTGACTCAAACAATAATGGGCTATCATTTAGTAGAGTAGTAAATTACTGTTTAAAAGCAATGAAAAAACAGAAAAGCAAGCCTTATAACCATAGTTTCTGAACCATACATCTCTTGGTATAAAACAAACATTTCCTAACATTAGAATCAGATATAAACTTCTCCATCCTTTTATACGTCATTAAATTTCAGACATTTTAACAGAAACTACTTAATCTTGTTAGCAGGACAAGCTAACGATCATCCAAGGTGATCATGGATGCTGGACAAAACGGTCTTGTACTGCAATGCCCTGCCAAGTCTAGGGTTCTTGTCCCAAATCTTTAATGACTAATAATCTCCAGTTCACAGTACAAAACAAGGACTCGAGAAACATGGGTAAGAATGCCAGGTAGAAACAATCATACAAATCTATAGTATGAGACATTCAATAAAAAGCTGGGTCAAATTCTTCAAAAAGTCAGGATCACGGGAGTGGGGGGTGGGAAGATAGTGTGTAATTCAACAGACTAAAAAGATTTAACAACCCAATTAGACCACAGTTCAAAATAAGAAACATAAGTCATTCTGGAGGAAAAATATTGAGAAAATGGGGTTTGATATTAGTGAATACTAGAAAGTTTACTACTTCCCTAGGTATCTCAATGGTATTATGGATATGTAGGAAATGTCATTATTCTAAAGAGCTGCATGCCCAGATGTTCAGAGGCTAAATGATTTAGTCAAAGAAAAATGAGCATGCACATATACTTATATAAAGTGATATGGTACAATGTCAACAGCTGCTGAATTTAGGTGGAGGGCATATGACATTTCAACGTTACTACATGTTTAGAAATTTTCATCATAAAAACATTGGAAAAATAAAATAAAAATTTTAAAGCTTAAGGATTTAGATGATCTAATATAAAAATTCTTTGCCATCTTTGGAGGCTGTTATAATTATCCTAAACTTATAGAAGGCTGGTGATACAATGTGTTAAGCATCAGACTGCTAACTTCAAGGTCAGTTATTCAAACCCACCAGGCACTCAAGAGAAACAGGCTGCTATCTTACCCCTCATAAATATTCACAAGGATCAGATGTACTCTGTCCACTGGGGTCCATAGGAATTTGTATCAACACGATGGCAGTGGCCTTGGTTTGGCATTTTTATAATTCTGCAATAATCGTACAGGTAACTTATGCTACAAATATATCCCTGAATAAGGAATAAAATTCTGAACACCTTTTAGACTTAACACCTTAAGGGAATGAGCCCCTGGGGCCTGAGGGCTCAGAACCATAAATAGTTTCAGGTACCCCCCCAAAGCAAACTCTCTACATCCTGTTTTGGTGAGTAGCAGCTAGGGTCTTAACTGCTCAGGAGTGGTCATCTGAAGCACAACTATTGGCCTCCCTTTCTCCAGAAAATAACTAGTCCACTGTGCCAGGCTTCCAACTCCCAACTGCTCTGAAAAGGAACACATTACAAGGTTCTGTGTAAAGTGAGAGGAAAAATAGGAAGCAAAACTGGAAATCATTCAAAAAAATAACAAGCCCAGCCTACTGGATCAGATAAACACTTGTGGAAGCCCTTAGATAAAGACTATGTATTATCTCCTAGTCATCCTTCAAGTCTAGAACTGAACTCACCCCCATGGCTCAATTTTTAATCAAACAATGCACTGGTCTATGAGGGGAATAGTAACACTACTGCCTTAGAATGCCTTAAAATAATCAACAATTTGAGACAAATGGGCAGCATTTACCTAAGGACAAAGTTCAGAGGGGCACTAAGAAAGGAAGATGAATAGAAACAAGAAATGTAGAGAGAAAAATGGGACAAGTGCTACTACATTCAATGACATGAAACTAAATATAAGTGAATTGCTGAATGGAACACACTGGTCTGCTTTATAAACCTTCACACAATTCACAATAAAAAAAAAAAACTTAAGGTAAAGATAGCGCATAGAAGGAGGATTTTGTACGGAAAATGAAAGCACCTGAATACTTAATGTCTGTATGTTAGTTCATTCCAGGATTTTATATGTAAAATGCCTGAAATGAAAGGAAATACAGTAAAAGTATCAATGATGAAAATGGGTAGTGGTGTTATAAATGCTTTATTTGTATATCTTTTGTTTTCTGACCAAAAGCAAACAAAAAAATTTTTTAATTGGAATTTATGAATTTATGTTGGACTCAAACTATGTAAGCGTTTTTCTTATTATTTTTCCTTACTTTTCCCCCTGTACAAATAATGTTTTTATAAATAAAATGTCTTATTTGTATCTGTTCAGGGCTCTTAATAATAAAACTTGCCAGTCTTTAATCAGAACTTCCAAAAGTAAGTTTTCTGCTTTATGGTATACTGTGAAAACCCTTTAAAAGGTGACATTTGACTAAGTAAATATATAATAAAAAATAAAATAAAAACCTTCCCCTAGGACAAAAATTTAAGGCACTGAAACAAATTTGCTTCAAATGGCAGCTGGTCAAGTTCTACCACCTAAGATAAATGAACTCAGTAGGTCAGTTGTCATTTTATAACTGGGTTTGGTTTTTTTTTTGGGGGGGGGATGTAAGCAGGGGGGTGTTGGTGCTTCTATCTTTTACATTTTAGATTATCAGAACCACTGTTATAATGACTAAACAGTATAAGTCTACTTATTGGATTTATTGACAAGGTTGACTCAAAGGACATATATGAACTAATGTTAAGTTCAACAGATGAGGCCTCTTCTTCCTCTGACACCTTTATGATGACAGTAACCATCTGTATTTCTTGAACTGCTGGGGTGGGGGTTAGGGAGTAGTGGC